CGTGTGCAGTACACCTCTTCTTCCTCTCTGATTACTTCCTCGACTGTGACATCTTTTGTTTTGATAACCCGACAGTGACATCTTTGACACGGCCATTGATCCGGCAAGGTGTCGCGAGCTATTAAAGCAGCCATGGGCACGTCCATTGAGAACCATTGTCCATTGACACTGCAACACTACTGCGGCTACTTGCAAAGCTACAAGGTTGCATGCTGTTGCTGTGATCGTCGTTGAATTGACTTGAATCTTTCAGTTCCCTTCTCCAGTTCTCCACACCGCCCGGCGGGCTCCGACGCGACTAGACACAATGGTACGTGCTCTCTCGATTCCCAATCTGGACTCTGCAGGAGCACGTTTTCATTTCAGTTGCTGGATTGTTGCATTGCACTGCAGGCGAACGCGGCGTCCGGCGTGGCGGTGGCGGAGGAGTGCGTGGCGCGGTTCCAGGAGCTGCGCGGCGGCCGCGCGCACCGCTTCGTGGTGTTCAAGGTCGACGACGCTCTGCAGCGGGTGGTGGTGGACAAGGTGGGCGAACGGGGCGCCGGCTTCGGCGACCTCACCGCCAGCCTCCCCGCCGACGACTGCCGCTACGCCGTGTACGACCACGACTTCACCGTCGAGGACGCCACCGCCACCGGGGAGTCGCCGCGCAGCAAGATCTTATTCGTGGTCTGGTCCCCCGAGGCGGCGGGCGTGAGGAGCAAGATGGTGTACGCCAGCTCCCGCGAGGGGTTCAGGAAGGAGCTGGACGGCGTGCAGGTGGACCTCCAGGCCACCGAGCCCGGCGAGCTGACGCTCGACGTCCTCAACAACCACGCCTCCTGATGAACGAGGATGATGAGTGCTTGCATTGTCGCTCCGTCCATTCCGTGACGTACGGACACCGTATGCGTGCGTACGGCATGCAAGGTGTACCGTGTACGGAACTACGGGGGTGCTTGCAGCATTGGTGTGTAGTTAATGGTGATCTATACCGAGTCGTTCTTGTCGTGCTGGGATCGTTTCCTTCCTTCCTTCCTGTAACGTTGCTGCTACGTATACTACACGAATAAAACTGATGAATTGGTCGCCCTTTTCACTGAATCGGAGGGGATCATCATCATATGTGAAGTACGACGGTTTCGTTTCTCTGTGCATGCACGTGGTGTCCAGGCTACTAAACAGCGATGTTTTGCAACCATGGTGTCCTGCTTCTACTGCTAATGTTCTGCTCACAGATCAGCGTGCATGATTACTACTAGTAGTACTGCTTCAAGGATGGCCTGACAGACATCTCACAAGACGCGACGACACGCTCGCAAAGCAGCCGAAAGAAAATTATGGTAATAATAATTTAATAAAGAAAAAAGAAAAAGGATAAGGCCGGTGCCACGGCCCACGGCCCGCGGTCGGTGTCGATCGCCGCTGCCGCTGCTTTTCTGTGGTTTTGATTCCCCTGATATTTTCCGCGTCCACTCTTTCTCCCAGAATCCTTTATTTATTTATTACATTTATTATTTTCCAAGGATGCTCATTCCGAAATCTCTTTCGTGGAAAAGAAAACGAACGAAATATTATGAGAAAAAGCTCACGGGAATTAAAAAAAGGCATAAAAGAAAGAACATACGTACGTACTCCAATTTCGTTACATCGCGGGGCCTGGCGGCCCACCTCCCCTGGGGCGACATCGCGCCGCGCCGACGTGTCTCCATCGGGGTCGTCCATCTAACCATCCGACGACCGCGGCCGCTCCGTTCCGTCGCGGGGCAGCCACCCACCCCATCCCCCCGCACCGCACCGCACGGGGGCTACGCGGTGGAAAACCCGGCGACCCCATCAAAACACGAGGCGTCCCCGCAGGGCTGGTCACTCGGCACGCAGCCTAGCAGCACACCAGCAGCCAGCCCCCCTCCTCTCTCGCTTCGCTTCCTCGGCGGATTCCTCCTCCTCGTCCCCTTCCGACGCGCGAGCTTGCCCGAGATGGTGAGGCCCCTGCTCCCCTCCGCTTCCCCTCCCGCCCGCGCGCGGTTGCTCCCCAGATCGGCGCGGGGCGTGCTGGTTCCGCTCCTGATTTCAGGGCTTTTTGTTCTCGCGGGGCGGTAGCGTAGCGCTTCGGATCTAGTTGGATTCAGTGAGGATCGCGGCTGCTCGGCTTGCTCGTGGGCTGATTCGTGGTTTCCTCGGGAGGGATTTCTGATCGGATCGTGGGGGTGTTCATGGTTCCGTGTGTGGTGGGGACTCGGGGGAGACGCTTGAGAGCCAGAATCCTGGCCCGCGTGACCGGGATTCCGCGATCTGTGATTTCGATGTCGGGTGCTTTGTCTAGTGCTAGCTGCAGGCCGTGGCATGGTGCGCGGCCGCTTGGATCCGTGGTTGTTTGCACTGTGGCGTGTGAAATCGAGCTGTTTAGATCTAAGTTCTGCGAGATGCCGTGGCGGTGGAATCTCGATTGATCCGTGTGTCTCAGCGCCCGTGTAGCTCGTGTGACTGCAATACATCTGCTAATTTGGCTCTCGACGTCTTAGGGTTGCACCAGCTGCTCTGTAGTCCTGTTGGTTCTCGTGTGGATCTGTTGACTGTAGGTTCCAGACTTGCAGTAGCACACTAGCACTGCCATTGACCAGGAGCTGCGCAGCTATGCTGGAATCTCTAGTGGTACTATACTCTGCTAGTACTCACTAGGCGTCTCGAGAGAAATGCCTTCCGTGTTTAGGGACTTAGTGCACTCGTGTAGTCAAGACTACGAGCTGAAATATCTAATATTAGCAGTTTCTGTACTGGTTCAATGCAGCCTCATTTAGAATGCTGGGGACAATTGGCTCTGCCATGCAAAATAAAATGTGTGAAAGCAACTGTCTCGTAAATTATGAATACCGTTGTACTTTGAAGGGAAATTTCAACGTTGCATTTCTATTTAGCCATGATTTAACTTGTGATTGCAGGCAAATGCAAGATCGGGTGTCGCTGTGAATGATGAGTGCATGCTGAAGTTCGGCGAGCTGCAGTCGAAGAGGCTGCACCGCTTCATAACTTACAAGATGGACGACAAGTTCAAGGAGATAGTTGTGGACCAGGTTGGGGATCGCGCTACCAGCTATGAGGACTTCACAAACAGCCTCCCTGAGAATGACTGCCGATACGCAATCTATGATTTTGACTTTGTGACTGCAGAGGATGTCCAGAAGAGCAGGATCTTCTATATCCTATGGTATTGCTTGTGCCCTCGTGTTTGCATCCCTTGTTGCTGTTTGCTGTGAAGCTGCTCACTCATGAGATGTTTTGCTTCTGAATTCCAAGGTCCCCAGACTCAGCCAAGGTGAAGAGCAAGATGCTTTACGCAAGCTCTAACCAGAAGTTCAAGAGTGGGCTCAATGGCATTCAGGTGGAGCTCCAGGCTACAGATGCAAGTGAAATCAGCATTGATCAGATCAAGGATCGGGCACGCTAGGCGCACTGCACCGTCATCACGTGTTTCATGATCATGCATCATGGACTCGCCTACTACTGTGGATTTGTACACCACTATAGACTTGGTGCTGTGAAAGACTGCTTGATGATTTGCGGGTTTGTTGCTGTGTAAAAAGGTCCTCATGGCTTCCAGAAGACCATGAAGGTTTGGATCTATCATGTAATTCCTTGTTATCTGCCATTTATGTATGGACTATGGACATGTGTTGCGCTGTTCAACTTACTACAAATAAGTAATCGATATGTTCCCTACTCATGATTCGGTGACAATTGTCTTGGAGGCGTAATCTGAGTTTCAGAAAAATTTCAAGTGTTCCTTTGCCACAGTGAAGTAGTGTGACGCAAACTCCTAGATTCTTGCAACATTTTCAGCGTTGAGGACGCTTGAGTTCTGTGACACGATGTTGAAAAGAGTGGAATAAAGCCATGATTCGGTGACAATTGTCTGGACAAGATTATGTTGAGTTCATCAATTTTTGAAATGTTTGTGTGGCCACGAGCTCGAAGCTTAAGCTTAGAGTGTTTCTCTGGCCAGTGTAGTGTTGTGTCTGATGCAAATCCCTCGCTTGTTTAGCAAAATTTTCCCGAGTTGCATGATGCAAATTCTGTACTTCTGTGACACGAGAATGGGGGGGGCGGGCGGGGCGGGAAGTGGCGTCGCCCGGATGCAAATTCTGTACTTCTGTGACGAGATAGGGCAAAAAAAAGTGGCGTCGCCCGGACTCGAACCGGAGACCTTCAGTGTGTTAGACTGACGTGATAACCAACTACACCACGACACCATGATGATATAGTTAAGGTTAATCAGCATGAGGATTTGATGTTTTCGCACAATGAGGCTTGTTGCCCTCCACTGACGTTTTCGCTCGTAGCTTCTGCGTGGTTTGAGTTTTCACTTCATGGCATGGCTGTCTCATCATGAAATTATGTTCTTATGCGTATGAATGGCCGGAGGTGGAAGTGACCAATCCCTGCTCGATCGCTCACTTGCCATCTCAACCGTGTGCTTGTGCAGCCATTTCCCGGCTCAAGGGCACCATGGTCTGGTTTGACCTCATCTGCTACCCTACTCCTTGTGCAGCTCACATGGCGAACCAATGTACCTTTGATCACCTCTCAGATATTCAGATGGTCAGGTGCCAAGTGTCAAACTGTCAAGCATCACTTTGTCCAGATCAAACCGCCGATGTCACCATACAAATTTCAGTGGAAAACAAGTGCTGAAAAGACACAGCAGAGAATGAGCACAAGAGTTGAACATAACCTGACAATTTTTACATGAGCCGTTAAAGCACTGTTTGAGCCCACAAAGGGCTATATATCCTGATTAAAAGGGGAAAAGGAGTTTCACCCGCAACACATCCTACATAATCGTCCCTCAACTGATTAAAAGGGAAAAAGGAGTTTCACCCGCAACACATCCTACATAATCATCCCTCAACTACCACGGCATAAGGAAAACTGTTCCAATATTGTCAAAAACAAATGAAACATCCTGGGTCCAGGCGAAACTCAACCATCCTAACAAAGTGGAGCCCGTCGGCAAAAAGCTCTCAGAACCTGCGGAGCTCGCGATTGAATATCCTGGCCGACGGGCACTCATAAGACATGTGCCCCCTCCCACCGCATGTGTCACAGATGATGGTTGCAATGCAGTTGCGGCTGATGTGCCCTGGCTGACCACAGATGCGGCAAAGGATATCACGGAATGGGCCACCCTGTATCTCTGAAGCCAGAGTCGTCTTTGGACAGACGCGCGCGACATGGCCAGAGACATTGCACAGGTTGCAAACAGGTTCGTTCTTGCACTCCCGAGCTATGTGCCCTGGCTGACGGCAGTTGTTGCAGGCCCGTTCATTGGTGCAGTCAACAGCGATGTGGCCTGGTTTAAAACATTTGTTGCATAGCTTAACACTAACCCCTGAAGTAGGGCAATCACGTGCCAAATGACCTGTCTTGTTGCAGGTGTGGCACAGGGCCTCATTCTTGCACTCACTGGCAATGTGCCCAGACTCTTTGCAGTTCCAGCAAACAGTTTGTGAGGTGCATTCTGCTGCAAAGTGCCTGTAGAAAAAAAAAGAACAGAGTTATGGTCCACTACAAACAAACATCTGAAGAATGAAATATGGCATCTAGCGGGAATTATTAAAATAATACTCTGCACAACAAGAAGTCATAAATGTGTGTTCGAGAAAAAAAAAAGTCATAAATGCATTTGATTCCAACAAAAAATGGAATGAATGCAGCTATATTAAGAGTGTTGCTGGTTTATTTTACCCTGGAAGGTTACAGTTATTGCACGTAGGCGCAGATGGGCACTCCTTAGCGAAGTGCCCAGGTCTCCGGCAGTTCTTGCATACAAGATCCCTGCAAAATCATTCGTTTTAAAAACGTTTCATTTTCCATGAGCCTGGAATATGATTCACATAAAAAATATTAAACATTTGCATAACTATGTATGAAGAGCAAAGCAATGTTTCCATTTCCATAAGATAAAGCTTATCTTGGTAAAAGATAAGAACAATGTGTGAGTGCTGAGTGCCCCTCTTTCAGTGGTAAACCACGGTGTGTGCCTAAAGATACTCCGCACCAGCTGTAGGTCTTATGAGGTGCTAGGCTGCTAGCATGAACCCTAGCGGTGCAATTTCTCCCAGGGTTCACATAGAAGAAAAAGAAATACACAACATTGTGCATTCTTTAAAAGAACACGGTGAAGCGAAATGCCTTGTTAGGTGATGAGAATAATTAGAACCCAATTAGGTGATGAGAAGGTATTTTGGTAAGCCCACAAATATTACACCTATTTTCATGAAGGTGTTTCAACCTAGCACAATCTCCCCTCCCCACTCTCCACACACATACAGAGGCTCAGATGTTATGACAGGTGCCAAATTCATTAACTTGATTAGCAGAAACACAGTTCAAAACATCTCTTCCTAGATACCAGACATCAGTTGACTGTGATGTTAATGAACGTGCCTCTACAGAAGTACAATTCACATGCCAAAATGGTTTTGATTTAGTGTTTGATGAAATAACCCTATGAACAGTCTATTCTTTTTTTCTTTACACAAATAAGCTACTGATCCTGTTTACTAAACATTGTCTCATGCTGAGCAATCACTCATGTACTTGACCAATTACAAGAGTGGAAAAAGGAACAGATCATGGAGGCAGACCAAACATTGCTATTTCAAAACAGAACTGACCTCCACATAACTTGTGGAATTAAAAAAAACATGGAGACGAGGGCAAATTGTGACATAAATCGGCTGTGAAGCAGCGTTGAATGATCATTTTAATTTAAGCAATGGAGCGAGCTTGGACATGTACATAAGCAAACTATAGTGTAAAAGGGTGGGCATTAGATAAACTACTGGAGATAAAGAGGGGGAAACTTATCACTCAAATCAATGCTGATATTGGCGTTACAGTGAATCACTCATGTAACATATATATACAAAAAATAGATCTATTGTCAGCATAAGATCAATTGAAAGCAAGTCATTGAATAAAGACATAACTCAGAAGCATACCTGTAGCCACGCCGTTCTCTGCGACGGTATGGGCTGCGGCTCCTGCTGCGACTGCGACTGCGGCGGGGTGCACGTTCACTGCGCAACCTATCTCTTCGGCGAGGACTGCGGCTCCTGCTCCTGCTGCGACTGTGGCTCCTACTTCTGCTCCTGCTGTTGCTTCTTGATGAAGTCATCAAAAACGAATCCTAATGTAACGAACTCCAAAAGTAACTTTCAGTAGCTCAGGCTCAGAGTATCTGCAGAAGAAAATGGCTAAATATAACAACTGGTAAATGGAAATAGAAACCGAAATGCCCGTCCCCTCACCCGATGCCTTTTTGCAAAACAATCGAATGTAGTGGTCATAATACATGCAGATACACTTGCAATTAGATCAGATCCGAATACAAATAGTAGGTTAGGGTTTGGGTGCTCGGTTTCGCACAGCAGGAAGGCGAGACAAGGGGTGGGCGTACCTGGTGGTGCTCGTCGCCGGCTAAGGGCCCGAAGAAGACCTCGGCAACTGGCGTAGGGCGGCAGCAACGGCCGCCCAGTCGTCGCCACGGGGCGCGGTGGGAAGCGGGGGGCGGCCGGGCGGGGGAGGGAGAGCGCGCACGCTGGGGGTTGCAGCATATAGACAGGGTTGCAGCATATAGACAGACCGCGGTCAGGGCTTGTTTGGGTGTTCCTAACCTCGCAGGGATCCCGGCCAATTCCACGGGACTTATGCGGCCCGGTGATTCGATCCTCCGCCAAACCTCTTCTGCTGTTTTTTTTTTCCATAACTGTGCCTAATCACGGTTTTATACAAAGTTAAGAGAAAAAGGAGAGTGATAATGTATGAGCTCATTAAGCCAAGATTTATCAAAACTAACACGATCCATACAAGCGAACGAGCCGATGGCTCAGTGGTGGGACTGGCTTAGTGGCCCATGACCTGGGTTCGAGCCCCGCTCGACATTGGTTTCGCATGAGGGTTTTTCACTATTTCCTTTGTAGCCTCGAGTGTGGATGAGTTCAGATACTGCAACTTGTACTTGAAGCATTGAAGCATAAAAAACACGATCCCTACAAGACTAATCCCACATGGATCAAACAAAGTTCACAATTAAGCAATTGCATATAAATAATTCATAATGGAATGACTATCGACCACTCTAAGAGAATCAGTGACCATAGAGACACAACAAACACGTAATTTGTATCTATTTATGAACTAAAAGCAATTTTTTCATAGGGATGTTTAGCTGTTTGAACATCTGGATATTTAATTTGTTGCACTTCTACCAAATGATGCACGGTCAAAGCCACCTATCAAATACTCTTGTAAAATTGCCATCGGGGAAACTTTTTTTTTTTGCAATATTACCAATCCCGTCTACTTTCACGTACGTGTCACGAGATTTCAGCAACGTAATTTGTATCTATTTATATACTAAAAGCGATTTTCTCATAGGGATGTTTAGCTGTCTGAACATCTGGATATTTAATTTGTTGCATTTCTATCAAATGATGCACCGTCAAAAGCCATCCTATCAAATATTCTTGTAAAATTGCCATCGGAAAACTTTTTTTTGCAATATTATCAATTCCAACTACTTTGGTGTGTGTGTCACGAGATTTCAGCGTGTCAGCACGAAGGACCCATGCTAAAAGACAGGAATGTCCCTCCTTCGTCCCTTTCCCTCACTTCCTCGTCCCTCTTGCACGCCTCCTCCCGACTGAATTTTTTATTTTTAGCCTTTTTTTGAAAAAAATCATAAATATGCCCTTAGAGGTAAGATTTTAAAATCTAGACTCTTAGCTCAGCGTCATCGTTGCTGACGCCGAGCTTACACTGCTCAGCGCCATCGTCGCTGCCGCCGAGGTCTTGGGCTCGACACAGACGTGGCGGTGATTTGACAGGCAGCTCGGCGCCATAGATCCTGGCGCCAAGCTTGGTGTCGTAGATCCTGGCGCCGTAGATCTTGACGCCGAGCTTGGCGCCTGATCTATGGCCCCGAGGTGATGTTTTAACCCCGGCCCCAACCTTCCTGACCGAGCCTTCTTCCTCTTCTTTCTCCTCCATCTCGGGTTTTTTCTCTCCCCACTTCGTCCTACCTCACGAATCGACATATTGGACCTTGAAAACTTTGATTTGATCCGTAGATCTTCAAGAGCAAGGTATCCTCGCTCCCCTCCTACTTTTTTCGCATCGATTCGGTATATATTAATCAGATTTTTCAACCTAAGAATCGTCATTACTTAGGGTTTCATGTAATTTTTAATATTTGTATTATACAACCGTAGGATGATGCCAAGACGTGAAAAAGCTAGCAAACCTAGGTAACCGCAGCGCATGTTGTTATGTTATGGGTTCATTGGTGTGCATCAAATGGAAAACCCTAGGTTTATGGTTTAATGTTAATTGCTTTCGATTCTTAAAACAAAATTGGTTGTATTGTAGTTATGGTTCTTATTGACATTAATTTGTGATGTTTTGATTTTTGTTCTTTAAATTACAACTATTTTGTTAGATGCAAGAAATGTATCGGGAGGAGTTTTGGTAAAAATGGGGTCGTCCTCGAGAATTATACCCCGACGTATCTAGCAAAGATGCCTCCGTCCCATGAAAGATTCAAAGAGTTGATAAAAATGAAATGATATCCCTCAATTCTTGAAGTTATAAAGGCGGACGAACTTAAAGCGCTATCTAAAGGTTTTATTTTTGTTTTTAAGTTTATGATCCGCCGTACTATAAAGAGAGATGCAAACTTAGTTGATCTGAGGAAGATAGAGTGCTCAAGCATAAAAATAAAATTAAAAGAGTGACACTCTATCACTCCACGAACACGTAGAATATTTTTCAGTGATTGTTGATGGTGTAAGTCCCGACATAAGCTGGAACTCCCGACCGTTGGAAGTCACGACTCATGCCGAAAATCCTGACGTCCAGTCACTTAGCCTGCGCAGTGACTGTGGTCGTCGGAAGTCCTGACACCTGGGGTTTTGCTGGCTGGCTGTCTACGCACGTCGGAAGTCCCGACGTACGTCGAAACTCCCGACAATCTGTACGATACGATTAGACTATACACGTTCTAATGAATTTACATTTAATCTGTGTACTACATTTGTGCCTTTTTAGCAGTGTAGTATAATTAATGATTCACGGAAAAAAATCGTAAGAGTTTTCCTTGTTTCAGGAGCATCCACAGTTACAAACAGAGACATCATTATATAATCCAAACATGTAATCATTGAAAGAGTACAATGCAACCACAACGAACATCACAACCAACATAGCATGTCCTGCATAGTCCAAATAATCCACAATATCCATACATTTCCAAATAGTTACAGGAGAGTGATTACAAAATCCATAATAGTACATACTAACATCTACCACAAACCCTCACTGCCTTCTAGTCTTATCCTTACCCTTGTGACCGAGAACGTTGGTACCTGGAGTGTAAGGGTCCGGTGGACGGCGTCGCCTAGTGCCTGGAGGTTGTGTAGGCTGAGTCGAGGGAGTGTCCTGGAGCTGAGAGGGGCCAAGCTCCTCGTGCCTCTGGTCCACGTCGTCCTTGTCCTCGTCCCCTGTAGCTGCTTGGCTAGAGGAACCTAGGCCTCCTCTGCCTGCGGAAGGAACACACACGTCTTACGTCGTGTCTGTCCTGCAACCACAACGAGCAGTCGCACGGCGTAGCCGACGTGACAACCTCTTTTGTACAAAATTATATTAACTAAAAGAATCTAACGTATTAATAATATGTTTGAAAGAATATTTTGAATCTTATGTCTAGGAAGCTACGCGTGTCGTCGTCCCTAACTCTCGGACGAAAGCGCTCAATGTCTTCAACGGAGCATTTGAGGGTATTGCCCTACAACAAAGTTCTCAGTAATAATACTTCTGAACAGATAGCAATATGTTTTGTTTTCTTTTGTACAACAATCTAACGTATTATAAGGATGCTACGGCTCGAAGGTGGCACTAACTAAAATAGATACCTCTAACGCACAATGTAATGGTATGCAACTTAACGTAGAAAAATAAGGCAATTGACTTACCACTCTGTCCAAGATTGGTCATGCCTCCACCTGTCTTCCTGCACGAGTAGATTGGTCGTACGTCTTGTCTTCATCGTCGGAGGACTCGATGTCGGCGTAGTCATCTTCTGTCCACTGTACCCTCAGCCTACAACGTGTCGCACGTTGGTACCAAGCTTGGTACCGCCTGAACTCACGGTTCGTGTGCGGCTCGTTGTTCTCGTCCATGTTGTCGTGCATCTCCTCCCATTGCTCAATGTAGTACTGGTGGTGCTTCTCCCAGTCAAAAATCTCTCTGTTCTTCTGATGATCCAACCTGCACGTATGTCATTGTTACTTGAATCCATGTACATGTCACTATATTATCTCCAAGGCAATGCAGTTCCTCCTGAGCTCTTGCAACCATCTCACTAAATGAAGGCCTATCATTGAATAGCACAGGCACGCTTTGCATGTCAATAAACTCAACATATCCATAGCGATCGCTTTCAACGGTGCCTCCATGATATATGGTCACTAGGTTGTCCATCTATTTCAAACACGTAACGAAACACATGTCCTTTAGTCAAAAAAAAACACGCTAACTACTAACGTGAAGGTCTCTAGTATTTAGATAAGTAAATGTATACTATGTACTAAGTACTACATATATATACTAAGTACTAAATATATACCTATGTATGTATCTAACTATGTAATAACTATATATGAAAACTAGTTATACCAACATAAGTATCTATATATCTATCTAAATATTACACCCTAACTATTGTTAACTAAGTACTAAATTACCAATTCAAACGAATAAAGTAACTTACTTTCTTTATCAGCAGGTGGTGGGCGCGTCGGTGGAGTGCAACAACAAGCCGCCAGAGCGCCTTGGCGTGCCTGGGCCGGAGCTCCCGTGCGCCTTGGCATGGCGGGTAGGGGCGAGGGCGCGTGGGCCACGAACAGGTGGGGCAGGGCGAGCCGTGACGTGGCGGGTATGGAGGCGGCCACGTGATGTGGCGGCGAGGTCTTGGCGGCGCTAGCGCACGGGAGCGATGGCAAGGCCAGGCGAGTGCGGCGGGCGACACAAGAAAGCTCTAGTTTGGTTTTGGTTAATTGATGAAATCCTAAGTGCTAACCTAATTTATCAAAGTGATTATGAGACAGGTAGCACTACTCCAAGTGATGAAGCAATAACGAAGATCATGACAATGGTGATGGCATGGTGATGATCAAGTGCTTGAACTTGGAAAAGAAGAAAGAGAAAAAAGGCTCAAGGCAAAGGTGTAAATTGTAGGAGCCATTTTGTTTTAGTGACTGAGACACTTAGCGAGTGTGATCACATTTAGGATTGATAGCCGTACTATTAAGAGGGGTGAAACTCGTGTCGAAATGCGGTTATCAAAGTGCCACTAGATGCTCTAACTCATTGCATATGCATTTAGGATCTAGTGGAATGCTAACACCCTTAAAAATGTTTATGAAATATGCTAACACATGTGCACAAGGTGATACACTTGGTGGTTGGCACATTTGAGCAAGGGTGGAGAAGTTAGAAGTGAAATGGAGTTGGTCGCAATGATGCTGGCGTCGGTCTACTGACCGAACACTAGGTCACTCAGCGACCGGACGCTGAAAGGCTACGTCCGGTCGAGCTGTCAGATGGCATAGTGGTTAGGATTAAGCATCAGACGCTGGGCTATGTCTGATCAAGCATGACCGGACGCGTCCGGTCAGCAAAAATACGATTTGGACCCTTACTGGAAACGATCGGACGCTGAGGGTCCAACGTCCGGTCAGCTCTGTCGGAGCGTCCGGTCAGTCAATAGCCGTTGAGATCTGGTGGCTCAGGTTTAACTCAGAATGACACGTGGCTTACATCGGGCAACCGGACGCTGGGTTCAGCGTCCGGTCACTATGATCGGAGCGTCCGGTCACCCCGTGTTGTGCCCAGTGAAGGGGTACAACGGCTCTATTTCGTGGGGGCTTCTATTTAAGCCCCATGGCCCGCTCAAGCTCACACTCTTGGCCATTTTTATTGACATAGCAACCTTGTGAGCTTAGCCAAAGCCCTCCCGCTCGTCTCTATTATTGATCCATCATCATTGTGAGATTGAGAGAGAATCCAAGTGCTTTGCTTGAGTGATTGCATCTAGAGGCACTTGGCATTTGTGTTGCGCTGCGGATTTCGCTTGTTTCTCTTGGTGGTTGCCACCACCTAGATAGTTGGAGCAGCGGTGGATGATTGGCACGAGTTGGTGATTATTCGTGGCCATCTCTGGTGATTGTAAGGGGAGTTGTACCTTCTCTGGCGGAGTGCCAAAA